GAACTATATTATACCCACTATATATTATATATATATATATATATATATACACACACATACACACTAGTTTATAAGCTATGAGAACCACGGTTATAAAATTATTTAAATTTTCATATTAAAAAAATTAAAATTATTAAACAATTATTTTAATAAATTATTACTTAAGGGTTATTTTTTAGTTATATAAAATTATAATCATTGATTTAAATAAATATGTGAAGTTATATCGCCTTATAATCTATATAAATTTTATTTTATTTCAGTGTAATGTTATTAATTAAATATAATTATAGTGAGAAAATTTAAAATCAAGAATCAAGAATTAATTTAATGTAATTAGAGTGAGAAATTTAAAATTTGAAATGAATAATCAATTATTAATTTAATTGTAACGATCCAATTTCCACGTTCAAAAATTTTGTTTTTACAACATTACTTTAGAAAACGTTAATAATAAAAACATTGTTTGATCAAACTACATCACATCATAAACCATGTTCAAAAGTCAAGTCATACAACCACTCGAAACATCAGAGTATAATTCCTTGAGAAATCTAATAAATGCGGAAACCAATGTGTGTGCATGATGTACCGCTACCGAGCCAGCTCCTTCCCCTTCGATGAAGAGGTATCTGAAACCAAAACTGTAAACTGTAAGCACAAAGCTTAGTGAGTTCCCCCATTGTACCACAAACCATACAATCACATAACATACATAAATTGTCAGGCATATCTGGGTGCCCGACCTACCCCTTCGGTCCTCTCGACGGGATACTGCCTAGCATATCTGGGTGCCGGCCTCCCCTTCGGTCCTCTCGACCGGATACTGCCTAGCATATCTGGGTGTTGGCCCCCCCCTTTGGTCCTCTCGACCGGGTACCGTGGACTATTTCACCCCCTACTACTACCACATAACATATATACCACATAGTCTATCTAGCATGGCTGGGCATGACTGCCCCTTCGGCCCTATCGACCAGCAACTTGGGGACTATCTCCCCTACTATCACTAGCACATAGCATCATAACATACAAACACATAAACATAACACAGGTAGTAGCAACACTAGATGAATATCACAGAGACAATCATCTAATCATACATCTCCTACTGGTGGGTCGGCATTGTGGCCTTAAACCCACCGCTACTGGAAGGTAACTCACCTCGTAGCTGCTGCTCCGGAAATCCTCCGGCTGTAATTCCCACCAAACACTTAGTCAAAAAACTGCTAACCGTTCTTTGGGTAAAATGACCATTTTACCCCTGATCATCCCCTAAGTCAAAGTCAAAGTCAACTTCCAGTTGACCCGACTCGCCGAGTTGGACCTCCAACTCGCCGAGTCTATGTCCCAACGACTGTCCTGAATTCTGTTTCTACTCGTCGAGTTAGGCGTCGACTTGACGAGTTCTCCTTCCAAACTGATGTTTAAGTCCTTTATCCTACTCGCCGAGTTGTATGAACAACTCGCCGAGTTCATCTTAATCCGATGAACAAGTTATATTGTGACTCGCCGAGTTGTATGAACAACTCGCCGAATCTGATCTTGATCTAAGGAGATTGCCTTGAACTCGCCGAGTCTAGGCATCGACTCGTCGAGTTCCATTATGGGTGAGTTTTGGCTTCCAACTCACGGAGTCCATCCTGGACTCACTACACAACTCGACACAGCAAAAATGGGACAAACTCGGAGACTCGCGACTAGACTCGCCGAGTCAGATGAGCGAATCGTCGAGTCCGCTCCATGCAAGAGCCACAAATGTGATTTTGCTCGAATCCAGTCCATTCCATTCGTAGATCTGGGCTCCTAGAGCATGAATAACATGTAAAGTTTCCAACCTTACGTGTAAATATCCATCTATGGGGTTTTTAGGGTTCAAAATGCATTAAAAGAGTAGATCTAAGGTTTATATGCAATATGGGTTCATAAAGGTAGTAGATCTGAACTCCTGGAGCTCAACCATGCTTAGATCTAGAGGCCAATAACCTCATTTAAAAATATGATGCACATACAAGCTTGGAAATGAGGCATGAAGGACTTTAATGGGGCCATAAGCATGGAGACAAGGGGGAAAACGAACCATACCTTAGATATCACTCTGAAATTGCTCACAAGTGCTTGACCTTCTCTTCTTCTTCTTGGTCTCCTTCCCTATTCACTCCAATCTTCAAGAGGACACACCAAATGGCTTCAAATCCATAAAACAAGGCTTAGAACGAGGTATATGGCTCTTAGGGTGAATGGGGCTGGCTTAGGGGCGGAAAAGGGGGATTAAATAGGGTGCAAACCCCTGAAACTTAGGGTTTCATCCAGCAGTGGTGACTCGCCGAGTCCAGGATATGGACGCACCGAGTCGCCAACTTAAATGTGTCCCGGGTCCCGTCCCTACTCGGCGAGTCGGACCTATGACTCGCCAAGTCCAAGGCTTAAAAAGGAAAATACTCAATTAAGATTTACATACCAGGAACCAGGTGCTACATTAATGTAATTAGAGTCAAATTTAAAATTTTAAATGGATAATTAATAGGTTGATAAGTGACATGATAGATGATATATAACATTAATGAAGAATTCTAATTGTATGACACTTGTCAATAGTAGATTAAACCTATTCTTTTATAAGAATACTAGTTTATAACTTGTGAGAAACACGATTATAAAATTAATTAAATTTTCATATTAAAAAATTAAAATTATTAATCAATTATTTTAAATAAATTATTACTTAAGATATATTTTTTTGTTATATAAAATTATAATTGTTGATTTAAATAAATACTTGAAGTTATATAATTATATTACCTTATAATTTGTGTTAATTTTATTTTATTTTTCAATCTAATGTTATGAATTTAATATAATTAGAGTGGAAAATTTAAAATTTAAAATTTAAAATAGATAATCAATTATTAATTAGTGTAATTATAGTGAAAATTTAAAACTTGAAATTTAAGTTGGATAATTAATAGGTTGACAAATGATATAATTGGTGATATATAACATTAATGAGGAGGTCTAGTTATATGACATTTATCAATAGAAGATTAAAGTTATTCTTTTATTAAAATAGGGATATATATATATATATATGTGTGTGTGTGTGTTTGAATATTTATTAAAAAAATTAGTATTTATTTTTAAATTATGTTTCAATCTAGACATTTTCATATTTTGTAAAACATTTTGACTGTGTAACAAATGTTAAATACAAATTTTAAAGATATATTGTTAAAATACTATATTAAAATAATATATATTAGCTTTAATATATTGTTGGATGTAAACCATTATCATTTTAAAGATATAATTTTAGAATAATTTGTATAAAATACTTAAATTATTAATTAGAATATAACATTAGATGGTCAATTTAAGTAGAAATTTTAATTTAACTTAAACAACCAAAATAATATTTTGTAACTGGTTAAAAGTGATTGATTTTAATATTTTTCTAATAATGATTATAATATGTCAATAAGGTTAAATAAATTTTAAAAAATTAATTAACAATAACAATTACTATAAATAACATTAAACCATATATTATATTTATTTTATTCGTGTGTAACTCGCGGGTAGAAACCATTCAAACGATTAAGATTATATAGTTATAGCATATGTATATATTATCATATAATTCAAAATAATTAATATATTATATCAATTTAATATACAAATTAATATATTAAATTTAACAAAAATGTTAATGCTATATTAAAAAAATATATATGTGTATAGACTTCAACTATATATATGTTTCTGCACAATGTATGAGTATTCACATATGTATATATATATATATATATATATATATATATATATATATATATATATATATATATATATATATATATATATATACGTTCAGGTTCATTTGAGAACATGTAAATTTTGTGAGACCGTGAGACCAAATCTAAAATAATTTTAAATTGCAAAATAAATGGAAAAATCCAAAAAAAAAAATTTTAAATATTATTTTCGAAACTTGAATTAACTAAAAAAAAAATTTAAAAATAAAAAATAATAAAAAAAATCCCGTTTTTTTTTTTGAAAAATACGTGAAATATTTTAAATAGAATATTACACTGATATATTCTAAAAAATAATTTTAAAATGCAAAATAAATAGAAAAATCTAAAAATTCTTTTTTTAAATATTATTTTCGGAACTTGAATTAACTATAAATAAATAAATAAATAAATAAATAAATAAAATCCGTTTTTTTTAAAAAATACGTGAAATATTCTAAATAGAATATTACACTGACATATTCTAAAAAATAATTTTAAAATGTAAAATAAATGGAAAAATCTAAAAATTCTTTTTTTAAATATTATTTTCGGAACTTCAATTAACTAAAAAAAAAGATTTCTATTTTTTTGAAAAATACGTGAAATATTGTAAATAGAATATTACAGTGTACATATTCTAAAAATAATTTTAAAATGCAAAATAAATGGAAAAATAAAAAAAATTCTTTTTTAAATATTATTTTCGGAACATGAATTAACTAAAAAAAATATAAAAAAATAAAAAAATACGTTTCACGGTCTCACAAAATATAGGTGGTCTCAAATGAACCTAACCCTAATATATATATATATATATATATATATATATATATATATATATATATATATATATATATATATATATATATATATATATATATATATATATATATACCATTTTATTTTCGTCAGGTGAATCTTTCTCTCTCTGAAAATGATTACATATTTACATCTATGATAAGTACAACTTTAATTGCGTCGGGTATAATTCATGTAACATGAGTCAGGTGAAAAGCTTTACCTAAAATTATACTGTACTTTAATAGCTCAAATCATCTTCTCTTTAGTCTTTATCTTGGGAAATCTTTTCACATAGTATTTTCCACTTAAAGCACAAAGCATTCACTTTCCATAAACAACCTCTTTTCCCCCTTTCAGTTCCCATACCCTTTCGAAGCAAGCAAGAGAAAGAGATAGAGAGAAAGAGAGATGGAGTTGTCATATGAAGAAGTATTACTTTCTTCTTGTGATCCCGTATTTTCAGATGTTGAATTCAGAAAACCAAAAGAGATTGTTCTAAAAGATGAAGAAAGAGATATTGATCAAGAAGAAGAAGAAGAAGAAGAAGAAGAAAGAAACACAAAAGCGTGTGATGGTGTTGACGAATCAAGATTGAATCAAGAACTCAATCTTTTAGACAGTTTAAACATGGGTAATTCATCAGAAAGTACAACCCCACAAGCATCCGATACAACTGAGCCTAGGGTTTTTTCCTGCAACTACTGCCAAAGAAAGTTCTACAGCTCACAAGCACTAGGGGGTCACCAAAATGCCCATAAAAGAGAGAGAAATCTTGCAAAAAGAGGCCAAAGAATGGGGTTCCTTTCAGGTCCCATGATTTCAGCAGCTGCAGCTTTTGGCCATACATATATGCACCAGCAGCAACACCAGGATCAAAACTACTGTTCTAGCCTTTCCTCGCTTCCTCTCCATGGATATAACAACAACAGATCACTTGGAATTCAGGTACACTCAATGATCCACAAGCCTTCTAATTCCATGTTTTCGAGTTCGGCTTCGGGGGTTCAGGAGCTTTTATGGATCAAAAGGATGGCCATCTAGACCTCATGTTGATCAGCAACCAGCTATAAGGAAGCTTAGTTCAGCAAGCTACGCCTCAAGTTTGGCGGCAGCTCCATCATCCCATGCCGGTGTTGGGAGGTTTGAGGTAGTTAGGACAGGAATGAGTTCAACCGGTAAGGATGAGATTGGTGGTCATTGGTGGCCGGAGTTGAAGACTAATCAAGATGAGTCCCAAAAACTTGACTTGTCCCTCAAGCTCTAATCAGTTTCCCCAATTCAATTACATATAATATTTTTTTTTCCTTTTTAATCCTTCTGGTCAAGAATCATTTATACTTATGTTTTTTTTTGTTTAACTTTATTTTTTGAAAATTGAAAATAGTGTGTATATTTTAGATCTTGGAAAGATTGATTTCAGATATTGTTTATATATTTATTAATTTCGATCATTTCTAACCCACCCCACCAAAGAAAAAGTGGAGATGGTACGAAAGAATAGGCATTGTCCAAAATTTCAACCATAACTATGCTTCATGTATTATTATCACGTCCATCTTACCATCTAGTTAAAGAAAAAAATCAGATTTGAAATTACATCAAGCTTTCTTTTTATAAATTCATAAAAGTAACTTATCTTAGTTTATAAAATTACATAATCTAATTTACTAATAAACTAGCTTTAATAAACTATTGATAAACTGGGTTTTTAGTTAGTTTGTTAAAAAAGAGCAAAATATTTTGGTGTTTTAGCAACAATCTTTAATAATCTTGAAAAAAAACATATAAACCCAATTTGATGTTAGAATATGTATTGTAACAACTATTATTATTATCTCATACAGTAATTGGCTATTAGTTTTTGTATATCTTTTATTTAATGATTATTATTATTATTATTTAAATAATATACCTAGCAAGACACTAGGCTAGACAAAAAGCCAAAAAAAATCTACAAATAAGCCAAACATGCAAAAACAAAGGATTAAAACAACGAAAAATCCAATTGAGATTATATATTTCGATCTCTTTGAACCCCGGGGAGGTGGTAAATCCCAAACCACATGCCGAGGCTACGGGTTGAACCAAGAGAAGCATTCATCTAAGGATGGATAAAACACATCATGCCTGCAGGATACCACGTCCAACCTGCCAGGTTCCCTATGACTATGAAGTAAGGTATACATCTTCCATTAAAGAAACATGTGTCCCTGGATGTCATCTGTAAGCTTAGCGGTTGGGATTAAAACAATTCAAAAACATTTGCCCTTGGATTCCATTTGTTGAGTTGTTGAGCCGAAATTCTCGCTTTGAGTTCATAGCCATTGGACAAACCAAGTATTAGCTAATTCCCCATTTGACTTCATAGCCATCTGTTAAGTTGTGGAGTTTAATTCTCGCATTGGTTGTGTCTTGTGTTTCAAAATCATGGACTCAAAAGAGAAAAGCTCAAGGCAAAGGCAAGGAAATAAACCTTCATATGCTACCGATCGGATGACATAGGTTACCACTTATGGCATAACTATAACAAAAGGTTATTAGATGTTAGGATGTAGTGTTCAATAAGTGCTTTACATAAGGATAAGATTGTAACAAACCGCGATAGAGAAAAACAATAAATAAATAAATAAAACTAGATTCAAGTTATGTGTAATCTCAAATGGCGACATTGTAGAACCTAGAAGTATTCTTGACATATGGGAAGTTCAGAAGCAGTGAGAGCTACGATGAACTTGGTGATAGTGGTGCCAAGAGGATGAAGTTACATATGAGGGAAAGACTGAATCTCCTACTGTTTGGAGGCCTACTTTCAACGAACCTCTATTTACTATAATGAGATATTTTCTCCACTTGTAAAGATAACTACTATCGGCTTCGTCTTGGGTAAAATGACTATATAAGATCTCCATTTGGAGTAGCTAATTGTCAAAATAGTTTTTCTACATGGTGACATGGATGTAGACATCTATATAGCATATCTAGATGGTTTTATTACTTTTGGTAAAGAAAATTTGGTGCCTAAGTTGAAGAAAAGTTTGTATAGTTTGAAGAAAGCACAAAGTTCATGGTGCTTAAAACTTGATAACTTCATCTAGAGGAGGGGATACAAGAGATTGATGTGGCTTACTTTTGATACTTGAAGAATTTTAGCTACTAATATATCATATTATAATTATATGTTGACAACAAGTTGATATTGATTAAACATACAAGAGATCAGCAACCTAAAGAAGTCGTCGTCTAGACAGTTCAAGATGAAGCACCTAGTGGTTTATAAGCACATACTCGACATAAGCATAGTTAGAGACATAGTTACTAGTACTTTGAAACTTCCCCAAGAAAAAATATATAAAGAAATATATAGAGAAATTCAACACGGTGGATGCTAAGGCCAAACTTTACATAGTTAAGAAGTCACTTGAGAATCTCAAAGAAGCAACTCATGAAGACAAAAGAAGACAAAGCAAAAATGTTTAAGCTTTCCTACTCCTCGAGAATTGGTAGCTTGATATGGTTTATGGTATGCATATGGCACATGTAGTGGGAGTTGTGAGCAATTTTATGTCTAATATAGGGAATGAGTAAGTGTTTGCTATGCTAGTAGGAATAAACCTCCTACATATCCCTTTTTTTAGAAGAAAAAATAGTTTCAAAAAATCATCAAAATGGCAAACAGAAGACTTCAAATTTTCGAACATAATAAGCTAGTTACAACCCACCAAGGATCATCTTGCAATGTTTGGAAAGAAAAATAAGCACTGAAGAAGATGAAGAAATAACAAACCTTGCAGTTCTTTGGGTCCTCTTAGGAGGATTGGAAGTTAATGGGGAATGTGGAACTTTAAAGACACCAACAATGACTCAACTTGATGTAGAATGCTAGTTCTTTGAATAAAACTCTCAAGCTTTGAACCAAACCTAACTATGTTTCAAAGAAAGCAAAATACAAACAACAATCGTTCTTGATTTTAGAGAGAGAGAGAGTGTGTGTGTGTGTGTGTGTGTGTGTAACACCCCATTCTTGGTACGTATTTAATCCATTTAAATGTTCATTTTGTAAGAGCTACTCGACGAGTTGGTAGCCCTAACTCGTTGAGTAGATGCCAGTTTGATCGCAGGGTTTAAGTGGTCTACTCAACGAGTCGGAGCTCTGACTCGGCGAGTAGGTCTATCAGGAGGAAACCTTGCACCCTATTTAAGCAACATTTCAGGCCCCCATTCCAGCCTCCATTACCTCCACTCCCTGATCTTGAAACCCTAAGTAGCTATTGAGTGTTCTTAAGGTTTTCTTGACATTTTTGTGTGATTTGAAGCTAGAAGAATGAAAGAAACCCTTGGCGATCCAAGAAGAGGCTATAGATCCAGAGCTAGTGTTGCGTTTCAGAACCTTTGAAGGTATAAAGCTTTTACTTTGGTTTCCATTCACTTAGATCTTCTTATAGACTTGTTATTTTCACTTTATGGGTCCTTTCCAAGGTTATTCTGAGATTTGAACCTTAGGGGATGAAAGGACTTCAGATTTGGATATTTCTGAGCTCTAGAAGCTCAAAGTTGCCACCTTTATCCAGCCATGGCTCCATGATATGGTGTAGGCCTTCATTTCGACTTGAAATGAGTGTTTTAGCTTCATAACATCGTGCATGAATGTAAAGTTAGCAAATTTACTTGTAATGTTGGGCTGAGTACAGATCTATGATTTAGAAGCATTGGAATCATTTAGAATCGATTATATGGTTCAAGCATGCAAGGAACTCTCCGAGTTGTTCTTCAGACTCGGCGAGTCGAGTCGAGTCCCCCAAATCTTTTCTAGTTGAGAGCGAGACCATTGAGCTAAGAGGGGGGAGGGGAATGAGTCAGATAGTTGGACAAGATTAGGACCCAGGGAGCTAAAGGAATCGACGAGTCCAAGGAGGGACTCGACGAGTAGAGTCGAAATGTCCCGATGATTATTGCAGATAGAACTCGACGAGTCAGTAGAAGGTCTCGACGAGTTGACTCAGTGGACCGTGAGTTAGAATATTTTAGAGACTCGTCGAGTAGGTAGATGACTCGAAGAGTTGAGTTGACTGGGGTTGACCTTGACTTGACTTTAACCAGAGCGTTGACTTTGAACAGTGGTAAAATGGTCATTTTATCCTAGGAAGGAGTTTCAAATATTGACTATGCATTATTGTGTTTTGATAGCGAGAGGGATGCTGAGGCAGTTATTGAATATTCCTCACTGCGAAATTTCACAGTCAGTTTTACGAGGTGAGTTTCCCTTCAGTAGGAACAGGTCTAAGGCACCAACGCCGGCCCATTTATGTAGTTACAATATGTCGGGGTTAGCCCGATGTAGTTTATATTTGCAGTTTATGTGTTAAGTTTATTTCGAGCTTTGGTCCGATGCCGAGGTGGTCCCGAGAAGTAGTATAGTATGCTTGATGTCTTTGTGATTCATGCATGTGTATGGTATGTGTTCCGAACTCCGGTCCGATGTCGGGCAAGCCCGATGCAGTTTATGTGAGTATGTTATTTGTTTGAGTTTATGTTATGATTTAGTTTATTCCGGACTTCGGTCTGATGTCGGGTGGGGCCCGATGCTGTGGGCGGGGACCAAGTTTTTTCGAGCTATGTCTGATGCCAGGCGGGGCCCGATGCAGTGGGTAGGGTCCAAGTTATTTTGAACTTCGGTCCGATGTCGGGCAGGGCCCAATATAATGGGCGGGGCCCAGTAGTTGTTATATGTGCTTTGTATGGTATGTGGTAGTTTGGGGGAGCTCACTAAGTTTTGTGCTTACAAATCCAGTTTTGGTTTCAGGTACTTCAACTAGTAAAGGGAATGGCTCGAGCTGATGGCATGATACACACCACAGTTGATTAGCCTGGGAGCTTACTCTGATATTTTATGAGACAGTTATTTGTTGACAGATTTTATGAGATTTGAGATACATGTTTGATGATTTTATTTTATGATGATGAGATTATGTTTGTCAAATGATTTTAAAAACAAAATTTTTGGCTTGTATTTTGGGATGTTTTTAGAGAGTGAGAGAGATACGGAGAGAGAGAGAGAGTATGAAGTATCTCTCGGGAAATGGTGTAAAAAGGATGCACCAAATGAAAGCCTCATGTCTTGTTTAAAGTATAATGAGTGACTAAAAGTCGTTAACCCATTAAGCCCTTATGACACTAGACCAACATATCTCCGATGCATGCAAGCCTTACTCATTACTTTTGATTAAACAATTTGCGACCCCATACTCCTTCTAACACTCTCTAATT